TCTGAGAGGAAAAATGAGAGTTTGTCAGCAACCACCTCTCAGCTCTAATTTTGTATACATTTGCCTTGACGGGCATTTTTCTCCTCACAAAGCCTGGGGGCGAAGAGGGAGGTAAACAGTTAAGGAGTGTTTATGGAACAGTTTATCCCTGTGAGGGTTCAATAAGCTAATGCTGGCCAATTAGAATAACTCCTAGTAGATGGTTATTTTATATAATTAAATTACTGAGGCACAACAGCATCTTAACCTACTTATAGGACGACCAGTAATGGGTAATGGTGCAGAGCTATGAGTGATAACAGAAAGAACATTGGACTGGACATCAGGAGGAAAGGCTGGCTTCCAGTGCTCTCTCTGTACCTAGCCAGGGACCTGGGGCAACTTCATTCACCTTTCTGGAGCTCAAAGTTTCTGTTTGCTAAACTGGGAGTGAGGGGAGGTGGAGGATGGGTGATAATTAGTTAATTTTAATTAAAATGACAAATAATTTATGCTTTATAAAGCTCTTTTACATAGTTTATCTCAGAGAAACTCTAGGAGGTGGGAAGAACAGAGTATTATTTTACAAAGAAGAAAACAGCTCAGACAGGTTCAAGATCACAGAGTTCTCATGTGAATTCAGTCAAACTCCAAACCTATGTCTTTAAAAGCACCTTTGGTTATAAATGGCTATGGTTTTCTGGTTTTCTGCATTATTATTTTGGATGCCTATAAATTCTAGTTTTTAAATGCTAAATTGAATAATTTCAGTTGTTACAAGTCACATATATTTTCCCCCCTATAGAGATGCACTAGTAGTTTTCTTTGACCCAGTGATTCCAAGAGTGTCTGGAACCAGCAGCAGCAGTGGAATACTTAGAAATGAACATTCTCAAGCTGTACCCCAGACCTACAGAATCAGAAGCCCTGGGGTGGGGCCCAGTAATCTGTTATACCAAGCTTTCCAGGGGATTCTCAGGTAGCTAAAAGCTTGAGAACTACTGCTCTGACCTGCATACACTTGCTCCCCTCATAACTGGCTGACATTCAACATTTCCCCATTTAATTGCACTGATGGCTGTCTATATGCAGCTGCAACTTTGAACCTGTAACCAGCTAGATTCACAACATACTGTTAAACTCAGTTTTGCAATGCTCAAACTTCTAACTGTATTCTTTAAGGATATAATGGGGAATTTTTCCCTTTCCTTATACAATATTTATTAACAAAGCTGTTTTAACAAAATATTCTATAATTCTATAACTTTGTTAGTCTTTATTACTTCCCTTACACCCGTTTAGAATTTGAAAACAAAACAAAAGTCATCTAGGTCCCGTAAATCATGAGCCTTGAGTTAAATTGACTCTAATTTAAAAAATAGAATAAATTTAGTATTCAAGGTGGTTAATGTTTTAATCCCTTACTCAAGGTACTTGGCAATCGACTTCCTCACTTCCACTCCTGAAATCTCAGTAACTTCAGAAAGAAATTCATATATACATAAAGCTTGAACAAGATTCTCTTCTCCTCCAATCTGGAAATAATGTTTTCATAAATAATAAAAAATAATCCAAAATATATACTCAAAATTTCTTTTTTAACATATATTTTTTTGAGTTGTAGTCTCACTCCATTGCCCAGGCAGGAATGCAGTGGCATGCTCATGGCCACCGCAGTTTCGACCTGCTGAGTTTAGGCGATCTTTCCTCCTTGGTCTTCCAAGTAGCTGGAACTACAAGCACGCGCTACCACGTGCTACCATGCCTGGCTAATTTTTGTGAATTATTGTAGAGAAGAGGTCTCACCAAGTTTCCCAGACTGGTCTAGAACCCCTAAGCTCAGGCAACCCTCTCAACTTGGCCTCCCAAAGTGCTGGGATTACAGACTGAGCCACCTTGCCTGGTCTCTTTTTAAATATTTATTTCAGAAAGGCGAATACATCACTCACTAATTAAAGATATATTATTTTTATGTCAAATGTCTGAGTTTTGGAGGCATTAAGATTTTAAGTCAATACATTCCTTTTGATTACTTTCCTATACTTAAAGTTTGAAAACACGGGATTTCTGGTAGAAAATATGAACTCTGATCCTAATATGATACATTTATATTTAAATGACTATATATGTTTATCTATCATTTATCTATCTATCTACCTATCATGGCACCTGTTACTTTAGGACACCAATAGTAATTTAAGAACTCTCTGGAATGTCTTTATACACATCCCAAATAAGTTTTGCCAATAAAATTTCACAAGGAAAGAAGCACAATATTGTCTTTCAGGAATAGAACCTTACACATTTCCAAAATCTACTTTTTTTTCATGTTGAAATAACACAGAAATAATCTTTTACCCCCTTGAATGAGGGCAGCCAGGGAGAACAAATCCACATACACTGTGCTGCTTCTGTTGTTAATTTGCTTATATAAGCAAGATTGTGGGCTTTCTGTGGAAGTACAAGACTTGCAAATCACATGACTGATAAAATGGCATATAGCTTGCACAGCATTTGTAGAATGACAGCTTCTGAATGACGGATTTAATGAGATTAGGAGTCTTCTGCCCATCACAGCACTCCAATTATCTTATTTATTTTCTGTAGATTTTCTTTTGGCACCGTTTATTGCAAAAGCTATTTGCAATTACATGAAGATAGACTAACAAATGTCTACCATGTTTCTGAAAAGGTATAGAAAGAATAAATTGAACATAAAGATCCCTGTGCTATAAAGTTTTAACTTTATTCTACATATATAACACAATTCTATGTGTAATTTCATCATATACATATCATATCTATGAGATGAAGCAATATTCCATTTCTGGAAAACAAATATATATACACACACAAACTTAATTTGTTATCTCTTAAACTTAGGAATAATTTTTTGTAGTTTTATAAGACGAATTACATTGTTTTCCCAAATATTTTACTTCCAGGTATCAACATTGTCATTGTGTCAACATAGGATTTGCTCATAACATCAACACCAAATAAACTTCCCAAAAAGGAAGGACTACTCTTACTGCCAACAGCAAACACCAAAGCCAGCTCATATTCATAATTACTCATCTTTTGGAAACATGTTTTGACATGAATAACTTAGCAAATCTGAGTTGCTGCCAAATGGTACCAACTTGTACAATGGCACTGGAAGAAACTTGATCACTACAGAGGCAAACAAATAATTCTGAACCAATCGAATTTACCCTCATTTGATTCAGGTAATGAAAGTGCTATTTTTCAAAGAAAAAGGAAAATTGCTTATCTTTTTCTTTAAATGGTTAATAAGATGTGTTTAGTCACAACAATATACATTTTATGAAAGGTATCATGAGAAAAAAGAGCAATATGACTTCCTTGGGTTTTTCACCCCAAAGATCTCAAAGTATAATTTTGTAGCTTTCTGAACACAAAATTTAGTTGAAACACAAAGATTTAGCCAGAAAAAAAGAAGGAAAGAAAATAAAAGCTGTGGGGTAGGAAGACAGTACATAGGAAGAAAAAAACAAAGTAAGAATTTACCTTCTATATGATTAAGGAATGGATTTTTAAAACCTAATTTTTCATTTTAATAGGGAAATGCATGCATATTTGTGTTCTCCTAATGTACTCAGATGTATTTTACTAGTTCATTCCCCAGGTGAGTCCAGCTCTTTAATCAGAATCCCAGGCTACAGCTGGGACTAGTGCAAGAAGTAGATTGCATGCCCCAAGTAATTAATCTGGCATAGTTAAAATGATAGTTCATCGCCCAGCAGAGCACTTGGGCTTCAGCCCCACATTCCCTATTAACTAAACTGACAATTTGGCACTAAGTAGCAGAAGCACAGGGCCAAATCCACACATCCCCTACCCTGCCGTACTCAATAGCAGGAGAGTAATAGTAAGGCAAGAAAAGCTTGGAGGCTATTTTAGTGAACCTTGTAAAATCAACATACTCTGCACCTCTGTGGAGATGCCCTGTTTGACCAGCTTTTCCAGAAGACCGCTTCAGTTACCTCAATTATTCCAGGCCTAACAAGCAAGTCTCTGAGTAAACTATTTCTGGCTGCCATCTTCTGATGGTCAGTTTTCTTTTTCTCAGAAATATACAACAATGGCTCCTTTAATGCAATCATTATGATGCAAAATAAATTGCATGATTAGGAAACTGTCCAAATTCAGCTTGCCTTTCTGTAAATTACTGAATGCTTTCTTTCTAATCTCTTTATCAGCTCAGATCCCTGTGAATTATTTCTCTATCTACACCAGAGCTTACATTGCCCTCAGATGCCCTGCCACTTATACATTAAATAGACGTTTGGCTATCTTGTCTCCCTGATAATTAACAAAGATGTTAAGAGCTAATGCCAATTCAGTGGCATGGGCTGGATACCTTCCATTACCTGGTAAGTCATTGTTTATGGTCTATTAAGCAGTTTTCATTTCACCTTATGGGCCCGTATAACATCCAAGCTAGAGGTTTCTCAAATTACAGATGGTACTAGAGACTATTAAATAGCCTCTTCTTTTTGTTTTTAGAATCATCTCTACATTTACTGCAGACAATCTGGAAAATTCAATTGGGCAATATATATGTTTCAAGGTTCTCATTTTTTCAGTCTTTTACCCACCTTCCTCTAAATCGTATTCATTGTTTTACAAGATAGACTAATGGTAGTGTTTCTCATTTTCAAAAGAATATATTTTCTTGTTCTTGTTTAAGTCTTTAAAAAAAAAACATTGACTCATTTTATCAAGCAGAGTCTATAATTTTCCAAAAGTTCTTATATTGTTCTAACTCTATATTCATCACTCTTACATATGGAACATGCATGTAGGCTTCATGCAGAGGTCAGTGGATAAGAGGCATCATACAGAGAGTCTTAGCCGCTCTCAAAATCTATCTTGTTATGTAAGCCTCAGTTAGACAGGATAATACAGCTGCTAGGGAAGGGATGAACACCCAAAAGGCTTTAGTTGTCAAAAATATACAGTACAATAATAGAAAATGGATGTAAGTATTCACTTACCTGCTTTTGATCAACAATTATTTCGAGGTCTTCATCACTGCTTAGTTTTCCATATCCTTGTTCTTTACTTTTCTTGTGAAAGAATAATTTTAAATGATCATTTAGTTTCTATCCATGAATAATCTTAATTCCCACTTAATATTTTTTAAAGATAAAAGCCTTTACTTAGCCTTGTTCACTAGTCATAATCATCATTCTTTCTATCAGTCTCTCATGTACAACAGCAAATGTTTTTATTATTAAACTGCTGGCTTATAATTATTCATTAAATATATCTGCTTAGCCTCTGCCATCCAAATTATGCTTTTAATCTTTTTCTCAATATTCTTATGCTTCTCTTCTCAGTTCTGTAGTTTCAGAAAAGATTCTTTAACATTTCGAGATAAATAAGCAATTCCTTGAAGAGTCCTATCACATTTTTCTTAAAGACTGAAACTTAATTTAGTTTTATACAATGCTTAATACTTCAACCATTCAATGTTTTGTTTTAATGTGCTATATATTTTTAAGAATAGGAGAAGTATTATACATCTCGTAACATATTTTCAGATTTTCAACATTTAAAAAATAAATCAGATGAATACAAACATTGGAGATGACTCAAACAATTAAAAAAATAAATAAAATAATTTTTAAAATTAGGTAGTTTGAAAAGTTGGAAGAATATGAACCATTTTAGAAGTACATTAAAAGCGTACTTTATTGGCATTTTATTGTTTTTCTAGTTCCAATTACCATTCTCCATCTATTTTCTCCATAGCAAAATCTGTATTACAAGTTCTAAAGTTAGAAAAGAACACAGAAAATGACAATCATTTTATAGTTGTGTGACAGAAGAAACTCATGTCTAAGTTTTTTTTCCCTCCTAATGCAACAGCTGATGGGAATACTAGAAATGTCATGTTACTTCTTCATAGCAGTAACAACTGAAAAAGAAAAATGTCATGTTGCTTTTTTATATTAGTAACAAATAGAAAATAAAAATCACTACATAGCCGCAGTTCAAGGCTATTTACTTATTTTAAAAGTCCTTACTTTAGTTATTAACCACATCAATCTGAATTAAGGGAATTAAAAATATTTCTTACGCTTGCACTCACTGTGTCATATTACGACCTTTATCTCATTGGAGGAAGAAATATATCCTTTAGTGAATACGATATAAGTCATCTTCACACTGTGGACACAATTCTCATCTGCTTTTCCCCCCCCTTAAAACATTTCAAAAGTTAGATTTACAAATTTCCTCTGCAAAAATGTACTTCCTATTTGTGTATGTGTGTGTTTACTGTCAGAGATTTCTGAATCTTCACATATTAGGATGCATAAATAAAACCCAAATTCTCATTCATATATTAATGAACTTAGCCACTTAGAACAGAATGGATGACTACAGTATTTTTCTATTATTATGCTTGTCCTCATTTGAGGTTCCATTTCAAGACTGATGGAAAACATAAAGAACTTAGTTGGTTTCAGTCAAGCTGACTTCCTATCGCTTTGCTTTTTCTATTCTTTTTGTTCACTGGTTGCCATAAGATATTGTCCTGAGACCCTCTAATGCAAAACATTTAAAAATGCCTTTCCAAATATTGATTTGTATACGTACCAAGTAGCTCATTTGCATGACCCGATTTCTGGACAAAAGGACATTAAGTAGAGATGGAATGTGGGTCCTTCCATCCATTTCACTGTCAGACATCCCAGAATTCTTTGTGCCAGCGGCAGTGGTTTCATTGCCAGAACTTGCTGACCAGAGAACCACAGATCTTGCCCAGCAACAGTATTAATAATGTACAACCATAATTGATGTATTCCTGAATCACTGTCTTGACTTTGTCAACACTGGGAAATTTTTGACTAGCATAAAAAGTCATTGAAACAACATTTTCTAACCAATTTTTATCCATGAACTTCTATGCTCCCTGACTGCTGTTTCCATTTAATTTTTTTAATCTATCTATTTTTAATTATATAATTTTGTATTCAATCCTATGCATATAGACTATTCAGTCTCCTTGTCATAAAAGCTCTTGATCGTCCCTTTTTAATCCCCCACCCCAGACTTTCTTGACAATCACTGCTCATAAATATAATAAGGTCAGCACTCACAGAACACAACTCAAGATTGCAATTTCTGCCAATACCTCTCCAATTTAATCCCAACTCCTTATCTGATTCATTAGTAACTTTTCCCGGGAAGAGTCTGGGTCAGGAAAGGAAATTATGTCCCCCAACTATTCTAAATAGAAGTTGGCATTTTCCAGGAGTAGGAGGAGGCATTTAGAGCTCTGATTTTGTAGTTAAGCGCCTAGTCTCCAAACAGCACACAACGGTGAACGGAGCCAGAGCCTTAAGTTTTACTCAGGAATTAAGCAATCTCTTCTAGCTCACCCCATAACCCCGGGGGGAGTAATCCTTTTCTAAGCCATAATGGTATTCGCTCACTTACTGCTTATTTCTAGTGCGAGCATAATCCTCTTTCAAGCACTCAGCTTCCCATTTTGTCTGCTTAGATCGGCCAGCCCAGGCAGGGATCTTCAGCTCTCCTCCCTCCTCCCAGCCGGGAATCCCTGTCTTCTATCTATGCACTTTAGTCAAGCACAAAAAGCAAGTCCATGGCTTCTGCGTGGTCTTTCACATGAGCCAAAGGACTGAACTAGAAGGAAAAAGAAAGCTGTCTCCACTGTCCAAGTGTGAGGGGGCAGGGCTTCTGTGGGAGGAGAAGCCAGAGGGCAATCACTTCCTGTGCTCCTCCCACCTCCAGTGGCAAGACACTGGGGCTGAGGTTTCCAACTGAGGCAGTCAGGTTAGGCTCCTGGCCACGCCGGCCTCTGTATGCTGCCCGTTTATGGCCGACTTGTGCACAAGTTCCCCTAAGTGCAGCTGGGGAGGAGCATTAGTGCAAAGGAGCTAAAATGGTGAGGCCTTACGCGGGATAAATGAGAAAGGAAACAGTCTTTCTTTACAGACAATGCCTCACCCCTGTAAGACGCCCTCAGCTCAGGGCAGGAGTCCAGTCTCCGGCACCCCAAACGCAGTACCTCTCATCTTTCCACACCATTCTGAATTCTTTCTGACTAACCTGAAGGAGAACTATCTAGCTATCTGTTAGTGTTGATATTACTGAATTAGAGTCGTGCTTTTCTTAAGAACACTGCGCCTAACTGGTAACTTTCCTCTCTGTAGACTTCCGCCGTCTTTACTGAACTCTACCTCCTGCTTCCTACTTTTTTGTTCTGTCCTCCACAAAAATGATACTGAAAAGTGGGTTTATTCACTTACATTAAATAAACTTTTATTAAAAATAGAAACTTTATAAAAAATCATGGCCACTGATATAAAGTATAGGAACATTTTGCAAGTAAGTAACACAACCACAAAATCTGATGGAATACAGACCTGAAAAATGAGAGAACTTACGTTCATTTCAGGATATGAGTTTATTAAAAAGTAAGAACTTAACTTCTCAAAATAAGACATACAGGCAGCAAACAGACACATGAAAAAGTACTTCACCTCCACTAATCATCAGATAAATGCAAATCAAAACCACATTGAGATACCACCTAACCCCAGTAAGAATGGCCATTAATAAAACAAAAAACCGGTAGATGCTGGTGAGGATGCGGAGAAAAGGGAACACTTCTACACAGCTGGTGGGAATGCAAACTAGTTTAACCTCTATGGAAAAGTGTGGCAATTTCTAAAAGAACTACAAATTGACCTTCCATATGACCCAGCAATCTGCCTACTGGGAATATACCGGGAGGAATGCAAAGCATTCTACAAAAAAGACACCTGCACATACATATTTATTGTAGCACTATTCACAATAGCAAAAACATGGAACCAACTGTGCTGCCCACTGAAATTAGACTGGATAAAAAAAAATGTGGTACATATACTCGATGGAGTATTATACAGTCATAAAGAAAGACAAATATATGGACTTTGTAGCAACTTGGATGGATTTAGAGTCTATCATACTCAGTGATCTATCACAAAAACAAAGAATTGAGCACCACATGTTCTCATTCATAAGCAGACCTTGAACATTTGCCATAATACTATAAGAAAGGGATTGGCAGTAGCGGGACACTGCTGGGGACATTTATACAAAAATGTATAAGTCTCTACATTTTTGTTTTTAAATATAGAGACTTATACACTACTTAAATTACATCAATAAGAATACGATGCCCACTTGTACGATACCTAATCCCAAATTGTTCCCCACATCTTTAAAATAACTTTAAAAATCAAAAAAGATTTTAAATTGAAAGATACTAGTTGCATATGAATTGAATTTAAAGGATTTTTCATACTCATTAGGAATGAAATGTATAAATAAAAATTTGAAAGGGAAAAAGTATCATTTGATTTAGCTAATTTTACAGATCAGCCCTAGTTGCAGCTTTTGCCTAACAACAGATGTCAAAATAAATGTAAAAGTTTGCATATAAATAATACAAAAAATGTTTTGAATCGATCAAAACTGCTGTGAATGATATATAGTAGACATGAACTTATTCAAGGGGAAGTCACATGCACAATATATAAAATAGCTGCAAGGAGAAAAGACTTTCCTACTGTTTTTTTTTCATGGTTGTAAGTCTATCCTCTTATTTTATCTATCTTCAATGTCTTCTTCACCACCTTCCTTTTCACAACCTGCAAAATTGCTCAGGTTTCCTCTGTCTAAACAGGTAATTTCCTCATATCTGCTTTTCCCTGAAGACTTTTATCTAATTTCTCTTTTGAGTATCAGTGAGAAGGAGAAGGGCTGGGAAAGAAGAATATGTGCTGAGAAGACATTTGCTGAGTTTGTGGTGTCTTTGAAAGTTCATCCAAGTGGAAAGAGTCAGGCAGCCATTTGGAAATAGGGGTCTTCTTATCTAAGAAGAGAGGTAAGAGCAGCACATATGGATTGCTGGGAATAATTGAAATTGCGGGAGTGAGCTCATTAGAGAAGAACACATAGAGATAGAAGAGATGAAGACTAAGTAAGGGCCAGAGTCCTGGAGAATGGTTGCATCTAAAGAATGAAAAAGAACTTGGAAAAGAACTTG